CACTAAAATTTGTACAGCAATTAACCACTAAGAAGAATATATGCAGTGTATTATTTGTTGAAACTGTACTTCCAATTTGATTTGAAACTGTCTCATTGCTGTTTATCAATAAAATTTTGAAAAAAAAATTAAAAAGTAAAAAAATAAATCCACTAAAACATAATAGAATCTGCATTCCTCTTCTTAGAAGTACTACACTGAAGGACAGCACCTCTGTCTCCTTTGCTCAGGTGCGAAAGGGCAGAACTCTTTAAAGAATCCCTTGAAGAGGTTTCCCATGTCTCTGAATACAATGAGTTCATAGGCGATCTGCCATGTCAGCGTACCTTTCATGCTACACTGGTGTTTCCAAGAACCCAGAATCTCCAAATGGGAGGATCTTCAAATGTCCTCTATTTCAGTATCTGACACACCAGAAGTCCCCTGTAGGTGCCTCTTTCAGAAAAATTTTATTTGTTGTTTGGTTTTTTTGTTTGTTTGTTTGTTTATTTGGTTGGTTGGTTTGCTTTGAGGATTTTGGAAGGGACCTAGTTTTACAGACACCTATAGAGAATAAAGGCTTTCATGCATGAACGAAAAGAGCACGTTTTAGTCCTACAAAATCTGCAGGCTCTCCCTTCTGTACCTTTTGGTCCGCCTCCTCCTTCTTGCATTTTTTTGACAAATTTCCTCCCCTCTGCTCTGTCTTATCTGCACATCTACTGTACTCTCAATGATCAATTTCTCAGAGACTCTTTTTCATATTAATTTTTATTGAGAAAGATGTAGCAATGAGACAGTTTCAAAACAAGTTAGTAGGACAGTTATGATGATTAATACATTGCATATTGCTGTCTTCATAGTAGTTATTCGTAGTACCAGATGCAGACATGGTATCTTGTCTAACCACTACTAGTTCAAAACTTCTCATTGAACAGAGAAAGTAGCTGTATATCTATGCTAACTATTATATATATATCTTTTTCTTTACTACAAAATGATCCTTCATTTCTATCCCCCTATTTTGTTTACTTTTGTCAGAGATGAGCATTCCATTGCCATTCTTATATTGTAGGTGCATGAATTCAGCAAAGGAATCCATGCTTGGAATCCCTGTCATTCTGGTCTTCTAAAAGTGTACTGTTTCTAGTATCATATCAATTACTGCTATACTTTCACTCAAGTAAATGTTTGTTTTGAAAACAAGGGAGAAAAAGGTAATAAATGAAAACAAGAGACAAGAAAAAAATGTCATAGGACTGTCTTGCTACAATGTTGTCTATGGTTAGATTTCTAAATTTTTGTGTAAATTTGTAATTTTTTATTTCTATTTTTTAATGTTATTTTTTTCACATTCTGTAGAGATTTAAAGTTTAGCATATCAATGACTGATGGAGAAAATGCCTGTTCCTTATTATGTCTAAGCAATTTGATACTCAGATAGCTGCTGATGTTAAGCTCAACAGCCTATGTTTTAGTGCAATAATATCAGTAAGCTTCTCTTCTGGAGGGTTAGCAACATAAGTTTGCAGACTAAAAAAATAGAGAAAAAGAAGGGCTACAAGGATAGCTAGCATTGTGGCCCTAGCCATTCAAGGTCAGTGAGGACTCAGGACATACAAGAACTTCTGCTGTAACATCCTGCAACTCACTGGTGTCCCAACTTTTCTGAACTCAGAGCCTCTTGCACAGGACAGTACAATAAGTGAGTGGTGGTCCTGCTTCAAATTTCCTGCCAGTTTTGTGTTTTCAGGGAAGGAAAGAAATCATATGCCAGGGGCTGGTGAGATGGCTCAGTGGTCTAAAGCACCTACTTAGAACAAGCTTAGCAAAGCACTGGGACCGCAGTTCAATCCCCCAGCACTACATGCCAGCCAGCCCCGCCCCCTGGTGGGCTGAGCTAGCCCCCCCCCCGACATGAATAAATAAGTAAAATATTTTAAAAAAGAAATCATATCTGGATGATATTGCGATGGAAGGTAAAATTTAAAGATGTAGGCAGACAGGGATGATCATTAAGTTTTTTCTTTCTGCATAATCAGGGATTGTACTCTGGCCCTTGCACTTGCCAGGGACATGCTTATTCTACTGAGCTGTCTCTCTGGTCCCCATATTAAGTGAATTTCTGAACGTCATATCAATTTACTGAACATCTGCCGCTGAGACAACAGTTAAAAGACAAAGAAAGTCAGAAATTTTCACTACCACTGTCTTTTCCTTATTCTTCTAGGTTATAGAATTTATTCCTTCCTTGGATATACTTCCCTCAAGGTCTTTTAACCCATGTTAGCAACTAGGTCTGTTAAAATTAATACAACTTCAAATATGTGCTGTGAGAGATAGGTTATATGTATAAAAGTTGCTCGGCGTGTTTTTAAATTCTTCTAGTAATAGCAACACTCTCTGCATTACGGCAAGCAATTTGTTTACCACTGTGAAGAAATATTTCTGTGAATCTAGGACTGTTCTACATGTTCAAAAGGATAGAAAGATCTTTATAAATTATTTTGCTAACCACTTACAATTAACCAATTAGGAAGCTTTTACTTATAGGTAGGATTTTCCTCTGAATGCTTTGTCAGCTATTGCCTTCTGGGAAAATGGAAATTGATGTATTTTGTGAAGTCAGAAGAACTGGATTTCATTTGACTGCTCTTGAATATTGGGAAAATGAGGTTGTCAACCCTCAACAGTGTCCGAACATCATTTTCCTTATCTATAATGAGTTTTAGGGACATGTGCACTGTAATGTCATTTGTCAGGCTCAGAGAGAGCTGGGAGCTATATGCCTTTTAAAAATATTTAATTTGTCATATGCAGCACCCCATAAGCCCACCATCAATGGATTGCCAGGTGTATTTACATAATGGCATTAAAGCTTTAGAGTCTCTCTCCATATATCTCAGCTTCATATAAAAATATGTATTATATAGTAATTCCTTAACTTTATAAACAGAGTACTTGAGAGATATGAGTGTACATGTATATGCATGTGTATGTACATGTATATGTACATGTGTATATACATGTGTGTATATATGCATGTATTATATATACATGTGTGTATATATACATGTATATATGTATTTATATTAAATCCACACACATGGTACTTTTTAAATTCAAGGTCTTTTATATTTCAGTCTCTGAAGTAATCAAACACATAGTGTTTATATCTGTCTCTAGTCATCTTCATAGAAAAGAAAGTAACTTGCTGATTTCAAGTTAGGTGCCACCTTTATTTAAGTGAGTAGAGGTACCAGCTCCATTAGTCCATTTAAGAGAAACTTAAGACCAGCATTCATCCCAGTCCTCAGGACAGGCCATTGCAAGACACTTTTGCCGTGGAGCCCTGGACTGCCCAGGAGCAGGACACTGATGCAGGTCAGGGCTGCAGGTCAGGAGGATGGCCTGAGCGGCACAGCACCTGCAGCTGCTCCACACACCTGAGACCCATGCTTGCTGCTGAAGCCTGCCCATGGTTGACCTGTGCACCCAGGTGCGAGGGGCACCATTGCAGGCAGAGGCTCCCTAAGAAATGCCTCAAAGCAGAGCAAGCTGTGTTAAGCCTAAAGCTTTAGCTGATGCAAGTCTAGGGCTCACAACTGGATCTAGAATAGAGGCGCCCTCCCACCCCGAGCTCCAGTCATAGCTCTTCCTTCTCTTGACTTGAAACTGACAGGAGTGATTGTTTGTTCTACAATCTGTTCCCAATAAAGTCTTTAGAATGAGAGAGAGAGAGAGAGAGAGAGAGAGAGAGAGAGAGAGAGA